TAAAGACTTGTTTTATCCTGCTCACTGACATTCTTCTCAACTTGAACAAGACGCTGTTATAGTTATGAATAATTTACCATACCATTTGAGAAAACAATAAATTAGAGACTGGCTTAAAGCTAAAAATATTGTTGGGGAAAGGATGTTAAGAACTGAATTACTGGCTATAGTGAAAGAAAACAAACATCATCATCAATGGCTGAACAGCCCCGGGTGGGCCTTGGCCTTCTCAAGAAGTTTTTTCCACAAAACTCAGAGTTCAGAATGATCTTACCGATCCTATTGTTGTTTCTAATGGACTTAGACAAGGGGATGCTCTGGCTTGTCTGCTTTTCAATATTGCTTTGCAAAAGATTGTGAAAGACTCGAATATAAATACCCGCGGAACAATCTTTAATAAATTCGTCCAAATTTTTACATTCCCTGACGACATTGATATTGTCGCACGAACCCCTGAGGCACTAAAAGAGGCTAAAACTTCACTAGAGGCCGCAGCCTGCATCTTGTAAGCAACCAGGACAAAACTAAGTATATGACCTGTACCAATTATACCAGCCATTATCTTGTAATTAGGGATTATAAATTTGAAACCGTGAACAATTTTAAATATTTGAGATCTGAAGTCAATAGTCGCTTAACGACAGAGATCCGTAGTAGAGTCACAGCAGCTAATCGATGTTTTTTCGGCCTTAAAAAGTATCTGAAATCTAGCTTCATCAGCAGAAAAACAAAGATTCTGATATGCAAAAGTTTGATAAGACCCATTCTTACTTACTCTGCTGAGACTTGTACAATGACAGAAAAAGTAAAGCACATTATTTCTGTGTTAGAAAGAAAAATTTTACGAAGCATATTTGGTGGCCTTAAATGTAACAATATCTGGAAAAGAAGCACTAACTCCGAACTTTACATACTATTTAAAGAACCTGACGTAGTCAAATATATTGCAATTCAGAGAATCAAATGGGCGGGACACCTATCAAGAATGGATAATAACCGCGTTACAAAAAAGATCTTCTCTGCCAGACCATTAGGCACTCGAAAAAGAGGAAGACCTAGACTGCCTCGAAAGTGATTTAAATATTCTAAAAGTCACAAATTGGATGTCTATGGCCAAGTGTAGAAGAGCCTGGAGTTCAACTCTGCGGAAGGCAATGGCCCATCCTGGGCTGTCAAGCCAATGAAGAAGAACCTTTTTCCTGCAAGTATTTTTAAGACCAAAAGGTCTTACTCTAGGTCAGGGGTGGGCAACCTTTATACACCAACGTGCCATTTTCTCTAAAAAATTGCTTAGTGAGGTCATAGACGTGCCGTCAAATAATTTTGACTTCGTGATTATTGGGAAAATAGTAATACTATATACTATCAACTCAAAACTCTTTACTTACATTGGAAAGAAGCATTTTGCAATGTCTCAGTTTGTTATACACGTAATTCAACTTAAAGTAACATCAGTGTGACTTCTGTTGTTGCAGATTAGATGACCAATAACTTATATTAGGTTGTAAGATGTTAGTTTAAGCAGAATTGTTGATTTTCTTTGCTCGTTATTTATTGCTAACTTGTTTTTTACGGTTATTAATTGTTTTTTAGTATTAATTTTTTTATTAATAATTGTTTATTATTTTGTTTGTTTTTTGTGAATTTCAATTTAATTGTTACATATGCTTGATAGCGTAATAACATTTGTGTGATAACAATTCATAGTGTAACAACAATTGTGATGGGTGGAGTGCCCAGAATATTGTGTCGCGTGCCATAAATGGCACGCGTGCCATTGGTTCGCCATCCCTGCTCTAGGTCATCTATCCATCTCAAATTCGACCTGCCTCTTTTTCATGTGCCAACTGGTCTGGCATTGAAAATTCTTTTTGTGGTACGGTCTTTACCCATTATATTCTTTGTCGTATAATAAAGTTAATAATGTCAGGTTCATTATATGAGTGATAAAGCTCTAGATTTGATCTTCTTAGCCACACACCATTTTCTTTTAATTCCTCCCAAAATACATCTCAAGACCTTTCTCTCAAAGGTACCCAACATAGCCTCAAGAAAACAAACATAAATAGTACAATAAATGAATTGTGGATGAAATAGCCAAACGTCATAAAACAATTTTAAGATAACCATCTTATGAGTGCCACGAATTTGTAGAAGAGTCACAATTGTTTTTAAACACAATTGTTTTTCTTTTCGAACAATTCAAGAAGTGTTTACAACTTGCCTGGAAAACCTTAAATTATCAGAGAATTTTTTTATTCATGAAAACTCAAAGAAATTTGGATAAAGATCGGGATAAAAAAGAATATTTTCAAAGCTTTTTTAAAAATTTTATTATTATCTTATCACTTATTTTACCCACTTTGTTTTAGATTAAAATTTATCGCTAAATAGTTTAAAATATCACCAACTTAAATAATACTTAGCATCAAAACTTGCTCTATTATAACCCTGTTAGTCTAGATAAAAATGTCACCTGAAACTCTTTTATGATTGCTAAATGAATGGCTGAAACCTTTTTGGAGACTATGAATGACAAAGAATGTGGTAGAAAAGGGGTTAAGATATTTGCTCCTGTTTATAAAAGTTGGGATTTTTCTTCTGTCTTTAGTCCATGGCTATTTCTCATTCGAGTTCGTTATTTTATTTTGCGCTTTTCTGAAAGCTTTCATACTCCTATCGAATGAAATAGTTGAATAAATTTTTTCTCCGCCAAGCCAACCAATTGCACATTTTCTTACAATCTCTAACAGCAATGTGTTATAGGGTAAACCAACCAGTGAAGGAACACTTCNATTACGAATTTTGAAATCAATATGATTTTTTAAGAGGCAAGCGAAGCTTAAGTGTTCCTTCACCCTAATTGCTCCATTAACGCTAATTTTCTTGATTTCATTTTAACCTTTTAAATCGCATTTTAATTTATAAGAAAGTTCTTTTAAGAACCAACTATCTGTTGATAACATTTAGTTTTACTGGTAAATATTTGATTCTTGGTTCAAAATTTGAATTGTGCAGACAATTACAATGTTAAAAGTTTGAAATTGCTTACCTTCCAGAGATGATATTTTCAAAACTGTTTCCCTGAAAAGCTGGCAAAAACTAAAGAATGTATAAAAAAAACATTCTAAATAATGTAGAATATAATTTTTTTTTATTGATATGTGTTGATTAAGAAGGAAAACAATTTTTTTGTTTTGTTCAGCACTCAACAGGTACAGGTTTTTAGTTGTAAAAAACAATTAACTAATCTAAGCTAAAAAAGCATGTTGTTAGATTGGAATTCTTTATATATTTTGATTTCAAATTTTTTTAAAAAAAATTATCAACTGTAAGAGATTCGATTTTTGCTGGGTACCTGGACTTAAAAAACTTTTAGGACTTGTTGCGCCACTTTAATCCACATTTAGTTCAATTTGATTCTTGCTTATACTATTTTGAAAATCAAATAATAATTCATATGCATCGTCATTTCTCTAAATAAAACCTTCAATATTAGTCTTTAAGCTCATGATATAGACCTAAAAATCCCTTCTGTAGAACCAATTAATAATTATGCCTAAGAATTTCAAGATCTTTAGGACCAAAAAATATTTTGTTTTAAGAGAAAATTTACTTCCGGCCAGTTGTATCATTTTTCACAATGGCCACTTCTTTAAAAATGGAAAATTTTAAGCGTTATATTACATAATATTTTAAAGTTTAGTTTTAAAATGAAGAAATATTTTGAGAAACAAGCATAAAATAAAGTTATTTTATAAGTATTATAAAATACTTATAACTCAATATTTATTTAAAAAAAGTGTTGATCAAGCAGCCATTTTTTAATCCCTATATGATAGATTTAGATGTCCTGTTATTGGTGGCGATCGTTAATTTTGTCTCTTTTGACGAGTTCATAAAAAAATTTTCTCGAGTTGTTTTAAAATATTCTGCTTAAAATATTTGTAATATATACCTATTATTGTAAGCAAAGCAAGTGTCAAAATATTGATTTCACTTTATCAACACTGACATGATTTCATTAACTTTACAGATACGTAAGATTTTTTATAAATCTAGTACAAGAAGGGTTATTTTAAAGCTGAAAAGATTTAACACTAAGTTATTTCTATACCAAAATAAAAAATAAATTATTTTGAAACAAAAATGATGCTTCATTAATCTTAGTGTGACACAAGGGCGCCGGCAGCGGGGTGTAAGAGGGTGCACTTGCACCTCCCTGGCTTTTTTTTTTTTTAATCAAAGCGATACAGAAAAACAATTTTGTTATAAAAAATTTTTTTTTAAATATTTTTATTCAAAAACAAATAATTAAATAATTGCTCCATAATTAAAAATTGTTTAATCAAACAAGAATTGTAATCGTCTTGTTTGCTGTCCAAATCTGTTTATAACTTTTTCAATGAATTCTGAGTCAACTTTGATTCTTTTCTTATACACACTGAGCATGCACAAACTTGGCAGATACATAAAGCTATATTTTTAAATTTCATTTAATAAAATATATTTAGTTTAACAAATGTGTATAACACAAACTGACTTCTCACAACTGTAAAACTTCAACAACACAATAAATACCAATGTTAAGCGTGCACAAACACGTTAGTATATGAAACTACTGTTTGTAGTTATTTGTCTTTCAAAGTCAGTAGCTATGCCAGTGCCATCAGTACAGTTTCTAGTGGCAAAATTTGCAAGTACAAGAAATTCATACTTTTTTTTAAATATCTTGTTAACAATGAAGAAATGTATCTTGAAAAAAATTAACAGGTGAAAGTATATGTAATAACAAAACAAAATGCAATAACAGAAAATTTTTTTTGGAGGAGGGGGGGGGTAGTTTGTTAGAGGGTTGCACCTCCTTTTATATTACTCTGCCAGCGCCCTTGGTGTGACATATTTTAAATTATATAACATGTTTTAAAAACACATTGGAAGTAAAAAAACACTATTGTTTGCAAAAACTGATTTACAAAAGCATTCCTCTAAAGCAATGATTTCTATTAACAAATAACTTTATTTACAAACAAAACAGTTTCTATGGACATTTTCATGTTTTGTCAGTTAAGGCTGCTTTTTCGGCTCTTCAGGGGGGCCGAAATCAATGGCTTCAATCAGTGTTTTTTTGCCGTATGCAGGGGGACCGATTAGTTTTTCTATGTCTGCATAGTTCAATACTTCCTTTTTTAGCAGCTCTTCAGCTAGCTGTAAAAAAAAAAAATGTAAGTAATGCATACAATTAATTTTCAACATAGAATAAATAACGACCTGTTCATAAGTGATGTGACACTCAGAGCAGGGTTCATACAAAGATCAGAAGAAGAAAGCCAAAGAGTCCAAAATTTTAAGGATTTATCAAAAATTTAAATAGTACTTTGCGTAAAAGATAACTTGACAGTTTTTTTTTAAAATTAAAAAGCACTTATTATAAGGAACTTGCAAGAGTGTATATTTTGCATATTTTTTTCTAGCCCTTTTGAAATAAATTTGGACTTGGTCAAACTTCTTTAAGAAAAATAAATAAAGTTATCATTTTTACACATAAATACATTTTCCAGCCTCAAATATTTTAATAAATCTTGTTAAAGTACAGATGCTAAAGATTAACATAAAAACCTACCAATCTTATATTTTTACATTTGAATACATAAGAAAATCTAAGGCATTTTATGCACACAAAAAAAAATTACAGTAAATTATTAATTAAGTTTGCTTGTAACTTGTAAAATTAAAGTTATTTGCTGTTATTTTTTTTTTCTTTCTAACTCTTGCAATTCAAGTTTTTCTTAAACGATTTTGACGGCTAAGTCATATCATTTCGTTTTCCTGCTTGGACAGCAAATTCTTCAGCAGACTTTGTAAGTTCATCTATGCAACGCAATAATCTAAGGACTAATTTGGAAATCTAAGTAGTTCCAAGTACTTCTTGGATACTTTTTTTATTTCCAAGGAGTATAAGGAGTCTGTACGCACACTGTCAGAGGGGAGGGAAGGCTCTTATGAAAATGATACAGTTTATAACAAGAGAGTAATAAAAAATATGACAACTCATACAGGGTTGCCACCCAAATCTGGAAAAAAAATTCACTGTGTTTTTCCTATACATATTATACACAATATACACTGGTGGACAAAATTAAGAGATGGAAAGCATTTTCGCACATTTCTATGACGCTATTTCTGGACGGTTATTGATATGTAGGGAACCTTATCGAAAGGGACCATTATGCTGGTGGAGGATTCATGGTTTGGGCAGGGATCATGCCCGTACACCGGTCCATGTGTTTGACAATGGTTCCGTGAATGCCCAGAGGTACAGGCAGGAGGTCCTAGAGCCCTATGTGCATCTTTTCAGGGGCGCTGTTGGCCCTGAGTTCATTTTTATGGACGACAATGCACGACCACATAGGGCTCTCATGGTTGATGAGTATCTGGAAAGTGAGGATATTCAACGAATGCATAGGCCAGCCAAATCTCCTGACCTGAATCCTATTGAACATGCTTGGGATGCTCTTGGGAGAGCTATTGCGATGCGCCAACCTCCACCCCCCGAACCATTCTGGACTTAGAAATTGCTCTGGTGGAAGAATGGGAGGGTCTTCCACAAGTCCTCCTTAACTCCCTTATTAACAGCATGCATACTCATTGTGCATGCTGTCTGTCAGGGGTGACCATACACCATACTAAGGCAACACACATTGTACAAGTCTCACTTTTATCCTTAAGTTCAGACTACATTGGATTTATTGGCAATAGGTCTTGCCAGTGAATGGCACTTTCATTTTTGTTTTGCATACTTTATTATCATGGAATAAGCTATATCCATACCAAATTTCATTTATTTATATTCAGTATTTTTTTGAGATATTTGGGAAAATGTCTTCCATCTCTTAATTTTGTTGACCAGTGTATTAAGAGGAAACAATAATTACTCTGCTCTTGAGAGATCTATATAGAGCTAACTATATTTAATAGTTTTAATTGCTGGCAAAAACAGCTTTGCATACTTAAATAATGCTATAGTAAAAGAAATAGTTTAGTATAGTTGGAATATCATGGTTAAATATCCCATAGATTACGTTTTGAGTGGTCACCATTTCTTAAAAGACAAAAATATGAAACAAAATTCGCAGTATTTTCCCAGTTTGTAAAGAAAAAAAAATCAAAATTCTGTGCATTTTCCCTGTTATTTTAGGTGATTTTTAAATTTCCTGTATTTTCCAGGTTTTCCTTGTTCTGTTTTAGTTTTTAAAAAAAAACACATATTAAAAATTAGCAGGTTAAATATGCTAAGATTATTTGTTTTAAATTTTTTCCATCGAAATACGTACGACTACCCTCATGAGTTAGCATGTGCTAAGTGAGAGTTGCAGTGCACTAGTAGATTACAGCAAATCAGAAGAAAGAGGTAAAGAAAATCAAAGCGTAAAAGGAGAGTGAACCAAAGAATTGAAATGGTATCCCAGTTTGGAATTGTCACCAGAAGAAATGTGATCATATTTTGTACACTTATAACTTTCTTCACATATGAACTCTTCTGCTCAGTTTCCCCCTTCCAGGCCAGCTTGTCGTAATTGAATAATCATTATTATTGTTATGCTCACAATAATAATGATGGGGCAGAGTTATCGACCATGCCAACCTTCATCTATTAAAAGGTACCTCGTGATTAAATCAAGTTAGCATGTCTTATATACCAGTGAATTGATGTTTAATTTTCGTAGTGGTAGTTATGCTACAATACTCCCCAAAACCAAGCGAATTTAAAGCAGAGGGTGCGTTTCTTGTTTATCGGTGGAGATATCTATGGCCCAGAATATGATTTCAGCCACACATAGTTCATAGAGCATTTACCCCCAGATTGTAATTTTAACCTGAACCAGAAAAGAATCAATCTCCTATTCTGTACCCCCAAATGTATGATGTGCTATGGGAACATGGAGGACATTGTGACCCAATAGATTTAACGTACACCAGTCAACATTTACTACATGGGTCACATGATTGTAGTGTTTTTTTTATATTTATTTTAAATCTTGTCCTTTGTGAATATCTCAAGCTCAGGGTTCCCACTCAATTTTCAAATTAAAAAAAATTCAAGGACTTCCAAGGACCTACTTAGTAATGGATAAATGTTTTCTACACTAGGGTGCTACAGCAGGCTCTTTACTGCTTATACTTCCAGGTTGCTGTTTCTGGTGTATTTTGAAGCTATTTGGCTTACAATGCGATCATTGTGTTTTGAGACTCTCTTGAATAGTATTTCTTGTATACATGTGTTTGTTACCCGATTTGTGTTTAAAAAAAGAATCATTATAAAACTTATCATTTGAAGATCTGTCATTTCAAGACGTAAGAATTGTCACTTGAAAAAAAAATGGTTGTAAAATAATATACCATCTAGAAAATTTAAACCAAAATGATCATTAATAAAATGAACTTAGTCTCGCTGCTCTAACAATATGCTAACACTAACGCATGATGGTGCCAAGAATAAACAGTTATAAAGAAGTAAAAAGAGGCTAAATCAGAACTGTCAAAAAAGTGAGTTCTAGAATCGCTATGTGTGATTCATAAATTATTTTGATGAGAATCACCAACAGTAATTCTTAAATCCCTTGTATGTCAGTTGTACTTCTTAAATCCGAAATTTTAAATGCGACACACATTAGGAAAAAAGGACCAAAATTCAGCGGAATCACTGATTAGGGTTTAAAATTATCTAACAATCAATTATGAAGAAACGTCACGAAAAAGTAAAGTATGCTATTACTAATTTTTAACACTAGTTGTATCATTACAATACTTGCAAAACATAAACATGAAACATAATACCAAGTAATCTAGTGAATTTATTTGACTATTGTTGAAATCTAAGAAAGAAATCTCCTTGAATCAGACGACATGCATTATCAAGCGTCAGATAATGATTTAGAGAGATTCTTTTGTAACATCAAATTCAAAAACTAGAATATTTCAGAATTTTTTTAAAGTAAAAAAAAAGTTATTATAATTACAGAACCTTACCAAGTTTAATTTTTCCCGATTTTCAAGCAGGACGCTCTCAGTCTTCCTGTATGCTCTAGCAACTAAACTTCTAGCTTGCTATATAAATCAAAAAAAAAAAAACTTATTATTTGAACATTTATAAAAGGTTTTATATGCCAAACTATATAAAATATAAACTCTTTCTCTTTTTTACAAATTAAAATTATTTGTTTCAAACAGAGTTGGCAAGGTTTAGGACAGAATGGATTAATCCATGGTTTAAACCGTCCTGTCTTAAACTGTCCAAAACCCCTTTGCCTAAAATTGTCCAAAACCCTTTTGTTCAAAGTATATCACAATTTAAAAAAAAATAATGTGAAAAATAAAAGGTTAATTTTTGAACAAGAAACAAAATGAAGACAAGTTTTTAATTTATTAAAAAAATTTATTATTATTTTTAATATTGCATTATTTATCCTTATGCGAAAACATAACTTATGAGTATTAAAAGGATATTTATTTATATTTAAAGGATAAGGTATTCACTTTTGTTGTTCAATGAATAATGGAGCTTCAAAAGTTACAAATCTTTTCCTATTTATATATTATTAAGCAATTATAAAGCAAATTGCATAAAAAGTATCAAATACGTATTAACTAACTCCCTGGCATTACAGTCCATGTTGGACCATGGCCTCACTAACAATTTTCCTCCAAAGTCGCCTGTCCTTAACTCTTTGTTTCCAGCTTTGGACTTTTAGAGGTCTTTTTCCACCTAGTCAAACCATCTTTTGACCGGCCTCCCTCTTTTCCTTCGGCAGAAAGTGTAATAACCTTTCTTATTTAAATTTCTCATTAGCTTCTATTAATTTCTTTTCTTTTTGTATGCATTTGCATTCCTGAGTGAGTTTTCAGTCCTTTGCTAATATCGTTTGAAGATAAATATCGAAATAGAAATCTGAGTTTTATGCTACAATTTGAAAAATAAACTCACATATCATAAGACATGTCATTTCTCTGCATTTAAAAAGATTCTGCAAGAAACCCCCTTTTTTAATAAAACAAGGTTCCACTTTAAAACATGAATTCTCAACCTCTTTACTCATATACGGATATTCACATTCATAATTATGCTATCTATTGATACACAAAACAAAGAGTTTAAAAACAAGAAAAAGAATTACATTTGAACAATCAAGCACTTTCAATTACAAATTATTAAACAATTGCATAAAAGAAAAACAACAATTTAATTTGGTACTCAGAACAGGGGTCTGTTTAGAATCACAAAATATCTTTTCATAAAAATAGAACCTTAACAAAATATTTTTACTTAAAAACAGATCCTTCACAAAATAATTTATCTTTTAATCGAACCCTTCACAAATTTGTTTACCTTCATTATTGTATTTCAAATAAACCCTTCCCAGGAAGGGGGAAGACAGATGTAAACGAACTAAGTTTTGTCTGCGGCAGAAGCTTCTTCCTTTATTCATCCGAAATTAATATTGTGCTTTCAGCAGTATAGGCTAAATACCAAATATTTGTATGTTTTATCTCAAATTTAGTAGCAGCAATTGCTGTTTATTTTTTAAAATTTAATTTTTTATTACTACAGTGAAACCTGTCAAGTTGACCACCCTTGTAAGTTGGACACCTGCATAAGTTGACTTCAATTATCAAGAACGGAATTTTTCCTATATAATATAAAGAAGCAAAACCTTTGTAACTTGACCACCTGTCTATCTTGTATGTTGACCACTGAAATAAGTCAATTTTGTTGAGAAGTATTAAGAAATTCTATTCTAAAACCCTCATAAGTTGACCAGAAAAAAAAAATTCAGAAAATTTCTGTCATTTTGCAATGTATGTTAAAATTTCTCCTGTTTGATGAAATTGAGTAAAAAGTTAATCTAAACTCTTCTCCTTCTCTCGTTTGTTATTGTTTTCATTTACACCATCAAGTATGCTCCGCAAAATATTTCTCTCGAGTATTGCGATACAATTTCCCTCCAGTTTTTTGATTGTCCAAGTCTCAGATACGTATGTCAAAACTGGCCTGAGTATGTAGACCAAGAGCTTTGTTTTTTTCTAGAAAGAAACCTAGATTTAATAAATCTTCTCAGCCTATTTGACAGATAGAGTCAGTTTTTTATTTTCAGGAGTCATTCTGTTATCAATAGTAATAATTGATCCTAAGTAAGTAAAACTCCTTACTGGATAACTTTAAAATATGCTAATTAATTATAGCAGATTATATTTTAAGTTACAAAATCAGACACAAAAACGCACTTTCTCTGAATAAACATGCTTTTTTCAACAGATTCAAATTTCTGGCCCTCTGGGGGGGGAATCAAAATATGGGGGGGGATTTTTGTCTATCAAAATAAATTAAATATTCAAAGAAATGAATAAAGATTTTCAGTCAGAAAATTCATTTTATAAATATATATTTATATAATATAAGAAGAGAATGAAATAACAAATAGCCAAGCACAGAAGACTTGCGGTTAGTAACACACAAAACAGCCAATTAAAATTGAGAATGCATATGTGTGAAAAAGCAATAGTTTTTAATAATGTTGCTTGCTAAATGTTATGACTAAACTTACCAGTTAAAGCTGAGTGGCGACTTTTATTTTATTTTGAATATGTATAAATACGGTGTCACAGTTTTCTATTGTTGTCTGTGCATTTCCTTTGGCCTAAAAATCACGAGGTAGGATCCAGTTTTTCCTCATTCATTTTGATATTGCTATGGTTGTCATCGGCATAAAATTAACAAAAGTCGCAAAGGTATTGTTTTCCTTTAAATATTTTTGTATCCCTAATTTAAACTTATTTTCCAGGACTGCTATTATTAGTGAAAATATGGTTGTGAACTCTTGTTTGTGCAATATAATGTTATAAGAACGTAAATGCTACTTTAAAAAACGATTACTTCGAAAAATCACATCTGTTCACCAAGAGATCTAAATGTTTTTAATACTAATACAGGGTTCCTACACTATTTTGAGAAAACAATATCCTGACTTTTGCAGGTTTTTCCTGATCTTTTACAATAAAATTCCTGACCAGCCGTTTCCCACTCCAACAAAACTTTTAACATTGCAGTTTCAATTAGTAATAATATGCTACTTAGTCATAAGTATCATAGATTGAATAGGATAAACACTTATATATTAAAGTGGAATTGCATAATAGCACTTAATATCCCAAATTATATTTTCAGAAAACTTGTGAAACATATTTTTAATTATCATGATTAGATTAAACTTTTAGTGTGTTTTTGTAGTTAGATACAAAAACTATTTAAATAAAATATCAAGAAAATCTGTTGGATTAAGGAAATATTATTTTATTTAATGTTAAGTGGAACCAAATGCATGAGTGTCGTCAGGATATAAAGGGTTAATCAAATCTGCGAGATATGTATCAGTATCCTCAAATAATATTTACTCTTAAAACATACTAGAACATTTGTTACATTAA